GCATGTGTGTGTGGGGTCGCATGCTTGGGGGTGCATTTTTGGTCCCAGCAGGCTTCAGGGAGGTCTGCTAGCATCAAAATGGGGATCACATATGTATGCACGGGGGGCGTGGGGGGTCATGCACACATGCGCAGGGGCGGGGCCTGTGGGGGACATTGCACTATGGGTGTCGGCACACACACACACACACACACACACACACACATGCTATCGGCACAAGAAGGAAAAAAGTTTTGCCATCACTGTTACAGAATCTTGGTTGCATCCTCTTCCAATCTGTTTCCTTCCCAATTTGTTGGGATACCTGGGAATTGTGAGAGTTGCAGTCCCAACTTCTGTTCTTGAAGTAGATTGCTGTAGGGTTTTAAATTGTCTAGGGAGTCTTACTACACAGTTTGCAATGTTGAAAACCCATATATATATATGGCTGTTGGAGACTCTCTTCATAGGATTGAAATTCTGTGAGGAAGAATGCTCAACTAGGGCTCAGGGAAAGTAAACATTTATTTGACAAAGCTACAGCAAATCACTGTCATTACACACATCGTGTGATAACTTATCATTTCCTAAGAAGCTTTAAAGTTTCATGCTTTGTCAGAACCTCTTCTGCAAAAGGTGCTTATATCATTTTAATAGCATCATGAATAATAATGCAAATCTTCACGAATAAATCTTTATAATGCAGGCAAATTTACTGCAGGCATACAAGGCACCCTTCTGCAGAATTCTACCAAACCATTTTTAATATGGCTTATTGTGTATAATTTTAATTACATAAGGGCCTGCTTGGTCCTGATTATAAGTTCTATCACCAGTCTCAACAGCTGAAGGGTCCCTGTGCAAAGTCTGTTGTTGATATTGCATCTCATTTTTTTTTGTACTTGCAACTAGTGTCAGTGCCCTTCTATGTTGCAGAATTTACACACTGCATTGCACTGGCCCTGAATGCATCGATAGATATTTTTAAAAAAATTGGTCTTCATCAAAGATTGGGCTCCCAAATGTTATCTCCATTCCTTGTGCCATTTGCAAAAATCATGTTGTTTTCAGTTGCTATTGCAAAACATATTCTTTGAGTTTGCCAAGTACAGCAGGGGAATGTCTGTCACTAGGAATCGAGCAGCTTTATTAGTATAATAAAGGCAAGATAAAAATAGCATGTTTAAATCAGAGAGTTCCAAAGTGTTACGGGCTCTTGCTTTTGTAAATGTTAGAAGTATCTACCTGTCATACACAAATCCCTGGCTTGGTAACTCCAGTAGCATTCCTAGATCACTGAATTGAGTTATTTGTAGGATGTTGAATTGGATATACTGTTGCATTTGTGAATTGTGTCTCTTGGGGCTTCCTGTCTCAGGTGTTCAATATGCTTCTGCTCTGTGGCCTTGAAAGAGAAGAGAGCAGCTGGAGAAGTACCCCTATCCCTTTAGTGTATGATCTGCCAGATGACAAAAATAAAGGAAACTGGGAGGCTGAAAGGATAAATCTACTATGAATTAATTTACAAATCCTTTTGAATTGCTTCATGGTGTTAATTGTCAAAGACAGACTTCTGTCTTTAACATGGAGATTTCCTAGTACATAAGGAATATTTATGTAAGACACGCGTTAAGAAGCTTGAACCCAGTCAAAGTTGGTTGGCATGAATTATCAAGACCATCATTGGACCGCTAAGCTATTGGGAGAAAAAAAGGAAAATATTTAAATATCAGTAAGCAGCTGAAGCTAATTAAATATTAAAAAACAAATGCAGTTGAAACTATATGTTATTTAGTAGGGCTCTGCAAAGTATTTGAAATAACGCTGTGCTAAGTACATTAATGCATTTCAGATCTGTTGCTCCTTATGCTCCACATGCTCCATTCATTTCACTGGAACATGATCAGTGTATGTATGTATGCGCGTTCGCATTTGACTACCTCCCAAACCTTTGTGAAGCCTATGTAATTGTGGCTTTCTTCCTGGTTGTATTCCCTTTACCAGAGATGCTCATATAATTATGGATTTTGGTTTGCTTTATGTTTTGTTGGCCATAAAGATCACATATACCCTTTGATTTCCTGTTTAGCTTTGTGCCGTCTGACCTTTACAGATTGGATAGTTGGCTGAAAAAATGTTTCCTTGTTTTGGTTCCCTTTTTTTGGCAGCTGGGATATTTGATTATTAGCCCTTTGCAGGTTTTGTTTGGATAACTGCACCTACACGTCATGTTACCTATTAGGAGAAGTAAAACTCTCTCTTCCAGTTGGAAGTAACTTGAATGAGAGACCAATCACAGAAGTAGAGGGAAAAAAAACCAGGTAAGGCAACATCCTGGAAAAAAACTTACCTAAGAACACGACAACAATTGGAGGGGATCCAATAATTGTTTTATTAAAGCTACCCAGTTAAGAGTGAATCACTGGTCTCCTGCCATAAGAATGACAGAGACTGTCAGCAAAATTCTTATATATGTTACAAAGGTTAAAGAAGAGCACATTTGACCATTAACAAAGAGTTGCTTTATAACTGATAAGGAATACAATTAGGACATACATAATTCTGTTCATCCTCCTTTCTGGCAAGATTGTAAAAAGGTGCTTGAGCCCCGTGAACGCCAATCAAGCTGGGTGTTACTCTAATTGTTTTATCCTGGACTACCTTTTGGTAATGCTATAATACTATTATCAGCATCTTTGAGAACGTTACACTTTATGGAGACATCATTTGTGAATCAAATGCCATTCACTGATTAAACAAAGATTGCAACTCAAGGAAAATATATGCCATGATAGAATAGTATTCAGGAAAGATAGTTAAGCAGTTTAGTGACTGTTGATCTGTTGATTTCTACATTAAACAAGTAAGCTCAATCTATTGACTTATACACAAACAAGTCAGGGGTGGGCTCCGGCTGCCATTACTACTGGTTCGGTGCCCGGAAAATTTTGCAGATGTGCACAACATTAAAAAAGGAATATAAATTACATTTTTTTCAATGAAGATTGCTCTGTGTATGTGCAGAACAGAAAATCAAGATGGCGCCGCCAGAGATAGAACCAGTACAGTCACGTGTCTGCCGGAGTTATTACTATTCGACCGAACTGGACCCAATAGGTAGGAACCCGTCTCTGAAACAAGTAGAGATTGAGGGAACATGGATGTCTTAGGTATGAGCAATTGGGCACACACTGAATAATAAAAAATCCTTCCACAGCACTTTTATTTGACACCATCCATATATGGTGATATGTGTGGCTGTGGTGGCTGGGAGTAATTAGAAATGAGCCAATACATTGTTGCTAGAGGGAACCCCAAGTTAGAAAAGCCATTAAGATGGGGTAGAAGATGTAACAATTACTGCAGTTTACTGGGAGTTCATACTTACTCTTAGCCTTAACAATAGAAAAGCATCAATAATACTTAAAGTAATGTGCACTAAACACAGAAATGTTGTCTCTGCTATATGGTTGTTACAAATCAAATTAGTTGAGTAATATGCTTTTGTAACCCTTTGTGTTCTTTACATTGTGGGAAATATGTATGAATTACCTTGCCCTGACTTTGATCAATGCCACTGTTACTATCTAATCCTCCCATAAATATTTTCAGGTATTTTAGATTAAAGGTTCCAAGGCCTGTAAAGGATGAGTTTAGCTATGGCTTGTAGGAAATGCAGTCAAAATCATTTGGAGATCTCTAGGTTAATATATCTGCAATAAGCTCTTAGGGTGAAATTTGTAAAACTAGCATTTTATTGAAAATCCCTTTTGGTTATGCCATCTGGAAATAGATAATTGTTTTATTATGTATGCCGTTCCCGGTCACAATGTGAAATAGATGACTATAGGAATGTGGTAAATAAAACTATTCACTACAACATTGTCTCTAAAATCTTAGCAACTATAAGATGTGTGGACTTCGACTCCTAGAATTCCCCATAAAGCATGCTGGCTGGGGGATTCTGGAAGTCAAAGTCTATACATCTTAAAGATGTGAGGGTTGAGAAACTCTGCACTACAGAATATAAACAATCTCTAAGGAAAATAGGGCTTCCAAGCAGGCCTCCTCCTATGGGGCTTTGCATTGGCTCATTATATCATGTCTCTAGGGGATGTACTCATCCGTTTCAAAGCCGAAGAGCCAGCGCTGTCCGAAGTCATCTCTATGGTCCTGTGGCTGACATGACTAAATGCTGAATGCGCACAGAACATTGTTACCTTCCCACCAAAGTGGTCTCTATTTTTCTACTTGCATTTTTATGTGCTTTCGAACTGCTAGGTTGACAGAAGGTGGGAGAAGTAACAGGAGCTCACTCCATTACGTAGCGCTGTGGATTCAAACTGCTGAACTGCTGACCTTTCTGATCGACATGCTCAGCGTCTTAGCCACTGAGCCACTGTGTCCCACTTCCATACTCCTCCATACTATCTTATAAAATATAAAATGGTATCGATGTAAGGAAGTTAAACCACAAGTCAAAATTTGGTACTTCTCATTTGCATGCTGAGGGGTTCTTCTGGTTTGGGAGAAGTGGACTGTGCTGAGCTATTTCAAATGAAAATGTTAATCATCATCAAGAGAACCAGCCTTTTAAAAGGTTGTCTAAAGCCCACGCTGTTCATCATCCCTTGGTTTTGTAAACTAGAGAATAAACTGCTTTTTCCCCCTCCCTTCTTTAGATAAAATCCTGATACCACCATGGGAAAACAGAACAGCAAGTTACGCCCAGAAGTGATGCAAGATTTGCTAGAAAGCACAGACTTTACTGAACATGAGATCCAGGAATGGTACAAAGGCTTTCTCAGAGACTGTCCAAGTGGGCATCTGTCCATGGAGGAATTTAAGAAAATCTATGGGAATTTTTTTCCTTATGGGGACGCTTCTAAATTTGCTGAACATGTGTTCCGTACATTTGATGCAAACGGCGATGGAACAATAGATTTCAGAGAATTTATCATAGCTTTGAGTGTAACGTCACGAGGGAAACTGGAGCAAAAGCTGAAGTGGGCATTCAGTATGTATGACCTGGATGGAAATGGATACATCAGCAAAGCAGAAATGTTAGAAATAGTCCAGGTATGTATCACCTACCTACCTACCTACCTACCTACCTACCTACCTACCTACCTTCCTTCCTTCCTTCCTTCCTTCCTTCCTTCCTTCCTTCCTGCCTTCCCTCCCTCCCTCCTTCCTTCCCTCCCTCTTTCCTTCCCTCCCTCCACAAACAATAAATGAGTAAATTTGTCACCGTTCTTTTCAGTATTAAAATGTAATATAATATTAATATTTAAGGACTGGCTAGAGTGGAAATAAAAATCTTATCTTTGCCAAGATATTCAGATGTGTCTCCTTCTGAAGACCATTAAATAAGAAATTGGTTTCTCAGTGTAAATTCTGTTTTATCTAATTGTTCCATATTTTGATTGGTAAATTATGCTATTCTGTCAGCTGTAATCCCTCCATGTGTGACCAAAAAACGGGCTGTCAGTTCTACTGAAAAAATGAAGTAAAAGGAAGTCTACAGAAATCAAGGCAATTAGAAAATTCTATTCTTGGGATGGTCTACTTTGTATTACACAATTTGGATTCCTTATTTGGCTAGTGTGGATGGTTATAGCCAGTATGGATGGTTATAGCCAGTGGTGGGATTCAAATAATTTAACAACAGGTTCTCTGCCCTAATGATTTCTTCCAAGAACCAGTTCACCTAAGTGCTCAGAAAGTTAACAACCAGTTCTCCCAATGTAGTATGAATCCCATCACTGGTTATAGCCAAGCCAGTGAAAAACCAATAAATTGCAGCAATTAACCTTGGATTAGCACTTTAAGTGACAAGGTTCAAATCAGAAACCAGTGGAAGACCTTCAGCCTAACTTACATATGTTGTTGTGAAGATTACCTTTCCCAACCCAATGCTCTGATCTACAATTTCAATACCCTTGGAGTAAGCTTTGAAAATCATGATTATTCTTGTTGGAATAAAAACTTGATAGATAACATTGTCCCCATAATCCTTTTGTCATATGGAGGAGTGAATTTTCCTACTCTCATTTCTCCACTTGTGCTGCATTCTTACCTTTCATCACTTTTAAAGTTATTCTGTTCCTTGAGCTGACACCTGTCTTCTTTTGCCTATTTTGAAGTGTTCTTTGTGCTGTTGCTATCATCATTTAAACAATAACAGGTGGATTTCGCCACCCCAGAGTGTTTGAGATAAAGTTTTAGTATAAATGTTTCATCTACCCCAGGAGGCATGCTAAACTGGTGTTATTTCATGTCCCTTCTGTGGAACTGATGACCATTAATACAATCTCAAATGAGACGTGGGCCAGCAAAGTTGGGGCACAAGCTCTTCAGTTTCCAATTTGTTTCTGGCAGGAATAAAAAAATGTCAGATGTCAGAAATATTTTCTCAGAGATCTAATTTTAGCATATAGCAACTAGTTTTTGTAGTTCTATAAATAACCTATTTTAATTAGGTTTCTGAAATTCACATTTTTAATGAAGGACTGTTGTTAAGGTTACCTTGGTTACCTGCCAATTTGATTTCATATTAGAGTTCCCAAGTTTAATGTTGAATTTTATTATTTTTGGCAACTTGGGTCATCACCATAGTATTTGTTGGAATTGCTCACAATAATGGCAAGGTGAAGGAAGGAAAGGGAAGGGAAGGGAAAGGACAATTTAGACCAGTCTATCAGGAAGCAATTTGAAATTCTTATGTGTTAAAAATATAGATAAACTTAGATATAGTGTGGCACATTGCCGGAAAAATTCCCTTACTTCTGGAAAAGTATTGAAGACTACTTTAGCATATCCTAAGGCTTGCACTTAAGTCTTCTCCAACCTGAGGAAAATCTATACTACCATTTTCCGTGTGATTTATAATCATTTTCTTTCCTGATGCTATTTCTCTTCAATATTCAGTTTTTTCCCTAGTGACTCAGTTAGTGCCACCATAAACACTTGTTGCAAAAATCTGAATGACTGCTAAAGGGCGAAACATTTTCTATGTCACTTTCCTGTTGTCAAGTGGTCATATGGATTGTTGCAGACCTGTTCAATTATGTATGGCATTAAACAGATGATACTTACTATTTTTCATTTATACTTTATTATTAATTTGACTTCACTGAGTAGCAGTTGAATTTAGAAATAAAAACTGGTAAATAAAAATAAACATCTATTTAGATGTCCAATATAGGAGAAACTAATATACCAGTATTTTTTTCTAAATGCAAAGATCGCTAGTATAGGCGGAACTAATATACTAGTAGTTTACTAGAGGATCTCCAGCGTAGGTATCAGGTAGCTACAATTCATGACATCCACAGTAAGACACCAGGCTGAAGATGTCTACTTAACTGAAAGGAATATACATCAATTGTAAAATGTACAGTAACGTAATTTTTACACACACACACGCACACACGCTCACACGCACACACACACCTAATATAGGGTTGTAGTACAGTACTGAATTAACTGAGAATAACTATAATTATCAAGACTAATTCTCAGTGGAGATGTCTAAGATTTAATGGTTAAGATATATTCTAAGGTTCAACCATATGTCAGTATCATTTAAACACATTTCAGAGCATATTTAAGTGGACTTGCTTCTTTCATGGGAGAGAATAGAGCTTCCTTAAAGTATGCTTAGGTGGGTACACATTTATTATACTTGCAATTAACCTTTATATATATACTTACTTGCACAAGCACGAAGCCGAAAACACCAGCCTGAAGATGGCGAGTGGGACCTCGCCAAAACGTTGCCAAGACAATCTCAATCTTACATGGAAAAAGACCCAAATACAACAAGACCGGCATACCTACACCTTTGAAAATCTACGAAAACATATACATACATACATACATACATACATACATACATACATACATACAATGTGTAAGATTGAGATTGTCTTGGCAACATTTCGGCGAGGCCATTACAACACAAAACAACAATGGACCCACAGCCAACACCAATCAGCACCAATTTACCAATCATGATACAGCCACACATCCAATCAATCCACTTGCTGAAACCCCACCCCCAAGGTTTGTAGAGGGACGGCAGCTTCGATCACGCTTTAAGCCCAAAACACCAGCATGAAGATGGTGAGTGGGATCTCGCCGAAACGTTGCCAAGACAATCTCAATCTTACACGGGAAAAGACCCGAATACAACAAGACCATATATATATACACACACATACAGACACTACATGTACACACATCAATTATGTATACTGCATCACATAAATCTAGTGTTCGGTAGGAGTTATTTTCAAGAAATGGTATGTATTACTTCTTTAAACGAACTAATCACCATTCTATATTTTTTTCAAATAAGATTTTTCCCCGTTATTGTTTTTTAATTATACAGTAATCTTTTTAAAGATGCTTTATTTCCCCCCCCCCTTTATTTTAAATGTACAATATACTGAATCTTTACAGTAAATAAGCACAGAAACATTCGAATGTACAATTAGATTATGTACTGGATTGGTCATTAACTTTTACTCCCACTGTTCAGTAATTAATGCCGTAAATAATGAGCATTCATTTAGCATTTTCTGTTATTGGTTATTGCAACAAGTGTTTCGACATAACCAATAGGAATGGGACAAGAAGTGGTTCCAGTAAGTCTTTTCACGTACAAAAAAGTATAGCATAAAGGGTGTGATGTGTACTTGAAAACAAAGGGAAACAAAGGGACTAGGGGACTAGCCCTGGGAAACCAAGATCTCTGTGTACTGGTGTGAAAATCAATTTAAGGCTATAATTGTATGCTTATTTATATGAAATTAAATTGTCAGTAGGATTTAATTCAGAATAACTAGAATTGTTCCTCTATGTGCCCCATAGCAAGCTACTGATTGCATTGTAGATGCTGTTCAGCTCAGTTTTTTGCCCATGCCTTAACTTGCTTGAGTTGCAGTCATGTTGTCCCAGTGATCATAATACAGGGATAACATTTAGATGGATTAACCAAAGGATGCTTTTGCTGTAAACCAAGACTATTTGTAATTACCGTTTTCGGAAAAACCAAATCTTTCCTTATAATTTTAGAATCTGAGCAAATCATCTAGAGGCCTTTCTAAGGAAGCATCCATCCTTAAACTGTAATGAAATTTCTCTAGCCAAATATCATTTGGTTAATAACTCCATTGATAATCATTATGTCTTCTCATCTCAATGTGTTTTTGGGGATAATGAGAATTGTGTGGTATATCTGTGAAGTCCAGGGTAGAAGAGACAGCTTTAATTACCTAAACTCCTGAAAGCTACTTTGGGATAGGTCTGTCAATGCACCAAATTCCCAATGAACTTTCTGAAATTATGCAATTCTTCTAGACCCTTCCTTTTCATATTCCATTTTTTAGGCAATCTACAAGATGGTTTCTTCAGTTATGAAGATGCCGGAAGATGAATCAACACCAGAGAAAAGAACCGAGAAAATCTTTCGCCAGATGGATACCAACAGAGATGGTAAATTATCTTTGGATTATCTTCCTTTTAACTTGCTTCTGTTGTTTCTGATCTCTCGATGCCTTTTGAAGAGCAGACTTTGACTAAGTAGTCTAAGTATGCCACTGATTCATAGATCCATCAATAAACCTCTGGGAAAGAATGATGGCTAGTATTACTGTGAAAAAAATTTTGACAAGCCAAATGCTGCCTCTTGTTAGGTTGCTGTCTTGCAGCTCAACCCATTACTCAGATAAATATTAGGATTTAGATTTAAGCCAGGAAGAATACACACACAGACACACACACATATACAGACAGACAGACAGACAGACAGACAGACAGACAGACACACACACACACACATCACAGATCCCAGTTATAATGGCACAGCAAGACAAATCCTGGAAACATTACAACTAAAATCTATTCCTCAGTTCCTTTAAACATGACTTCTGCTTCCAAATCTAGGAGTAAGAAAGAAGTCAGATCTTTTTTTTTATGGTTGTATGGAAATAGTTTGAAAATTGCTTTTAAAAATTGATTACAATCCAATTACAAAAAATGTATTTATTTTATAATGATATTATGAAAGCTATAGATGTGTCTTCCAATTTTCCCTCTTAACATCATTGTGCTTTGATAGCACAGTGTCTTGATTGACTCAAAATTTTCTTGTTTTCCGGAACTGTAGGTAATTTTTCACTTCCAAAGTATAAAAGATCAATTTTGGAAAGGCTTTACTAATTGCATGCACTATGGAGAGATTTTGTTTGCCTAGCCCTAGGACATACCCAAATAATTAAGTTTTTGCAGATGACAAATGCTCCATAACTAATCAATGCCACCAAAGTTGATATTTCCCAGTTCTTGAGTAATGGAGATGAATTTACAATCATGTAGACTAGGACACTTTTGAAGCAGGAACCATTGTAAAGATCATCTTCCACAAAGAAGGAGTCTCAGATTCAGTTTTCGGCATCTGTAATTTAAGAGCAAATAGATACGATTCGGGTGAACCAGTGCCAATCTGAACAGACCAAGCTTTCCCAGGATGACTTTCTAGATGTTTTGGAGGTTGTAATCCAGCACTTTCAGAGGTCTGTAGCTTGGAGAAGCTTACAGTACACAATAATAAGCTGTGTCAACAATATCTGAGCTGGTGTAAGGTAGAAATTCATATTTAAATTTGCTACTGAATATTACCTTCTCTTGGCCATTTATACCAAAACATTCCCTTGCCCTTGTCATAAAACATCATAGAATAACAGAGTTGGAATGGACCTTGGAGGTTTTCTAGTCCAATCCCCTGCTTAGGCAGGAAACCCTACACCACTTCAGACAATGGTTATCCTCACAAACAGAGCATAGCTCTATTTGTGTTAACACAAGCATCTGCTGCTCGCACGAGTAGAGCTTCATGCATGAACATAAGCACCTGCCACTCACGTGAGCGGCGTTTCGTCCTCACCTGCTGCTTGTGTGGCCCAATTCCGAACGGATCATGGCCCAGTAGTGGGCCACAGTTTGGGGGTTGATGACCCCTATGCTAAAAAGTGCAGAGCAACTGATGTGGTTCAAAGGATTGAGATGGAAAAATGGGCAGAAGAAGTTGTGGTTGCCTCCCTTACTAACTCAGTACATTCAGCACTGCAGAAATTTCATGTATAGTGGCAATCATACGATGCTTAAGTTCAAGATATTATTTTTAAGGAAAGTATGTATAGGGTTATACTTGCTTGTACAAACTGGCTAAATTTGCATTGCATATTAAACCGTAAAATTTAGTTTACAAATCACAGGGATTAAACCAAACCTCAAATAAATTATGACTCAATATGTTGCATGAATTGGACTACCATATTAAATTATAATATGTTTTGTTTTGAATTAGCATGTTGGGAGGACAAAGAAACGGTGGTACCTCGGTACTTATTGTTAATTGGTTCTGAGAGGCACGATGAGTACCAAACAAATTTTTCTGTAAGGAATAATGTAGCAAGTCACAAGGCAGCTGGCACTGACAAGTTCTAGCTTTTGCATTGATTAGCAAACAAACAATGAGTACAAGGACAAATTTTTCACATCAAAACGGGAAACCAAATTTCATGAGTTTCAAAGCAGTTGAGTACCAAGGTACCACTGTATTTTTTAACCATAACTTCTGGCCTAGCCTACTATGTGCACCTAATAATAGGTAGTGATGATTCATATTTATTTTGAAAACCGAAACCAGCATCTCCGTTTATTTTCTAGGAAAACTTTCTCTGGAAGAGTTCATTCGAGGAGCCAAGAGCGACCCATCTATTGTTCGTCTCCTTCAATGTGATCCCAGCAGTGCCGGACAGTTTTAAAACTGATGTTTGTATTACTTTGTGTCTTTCTGGTTTGTTTCTTTTGTCTCATATGTCTCTTTGCCAGAACAACATTCATGGGTGGTGTTGCCTTTTAAAGGCTACCTTTGCCTTCTTTTGTGGCATTATTTGCTTTCCTCGTGGCCAGCCATGAAGGTGTTGTGCTTACACTCTCTCTAAAATGCATTCTGGATTACAGAGAGTGCAACTGTCACAACCGTGTCCTTTTTCAAATTGTAATTAGTGCGGCCTGTGTGCCACTGAGTATGAATAGGATTTATTTCCTAATTGGATTAATGCCTTAAGTCATGTCTAGTTTGCCAATTCCAAGCTGGCTCTAAAACTCTGTAAGATCTGAGGCACATGTGGAGAAGACTGAAGTCAGCCAATAACTGCCATCAATCAATCAAATCTTTCTTATGGTCAGAGACCAGCATAAGGAGGATGGGATACAGTCAATTTAAAAGCATAGAACATACATCAAGTAATTATTAAAAAAACCCAAAAGCTATAAAACAAAGTATATATAAAAACAAAAGTCTAAAAGAAATCTTAGCAGGAGAGGTAGACGCATTAAATGGGTATAAGGGAGCATGAAGGATGGTGTGTGACAAACTAAACCTGTCATGGTAAAGAGCATTTTGTGTGATGCACTGAATGCTCCTTATTATTAATTTATGGAACATCTGATGGGCGTTCAGCACTGCTGCACAGAACCTGACAATATTCTATGCCTGTGATGGTGAACCCATGGCATGCAGACCACAGGTGGCACACGGAGCCATATCTGCCAGCCTGCGAGCCGTCAGCTCCAGCATGCATGCACGCACTGGTCAGCTGATTTTCAGCTTTCCGGAGAGGGATGCCATTTTCACCCTCCCCAGGCTCCGGAGGCTTTCCTGGAGCCTGGGGAGGGTGAAAAGGGCTTCCCCCGTTCCCCCGGAGGAAATACCAAGCTCAGCATGGAGGCGAGCAGTGTGGCACACGTGGTTGGGGAAAGTGGGGGGGTGTGTGTGTGCAAGCATGCGCATGTGGGGGTGCACTTTGCATTATGGGTGCCGGCAGGCATGCACGCTATTGTGTGCGCGCACTCACATTTTTGGCACTCAGCAACAAAAAGGTTGGCCATCACTGTTCTATGTTATAGCAAGGTCTGAAAGCAGCAGGAAGGGGTAGAGTTGTCCTCTGCACTCTGGGTGTGTATGCAATAGTGGAGAGAGAAGGCTAATATGAAGGTCTTTGCAAAAGAGGCAGAGGAGAAGTGTATGCTGGGTCGTTTTTGTGTGTCCGGTAGCACAGGGGCATCATCTCCCTGGATAGGTAATCTTACTGTATTGACCTTCAAAGACAGCTGAGGGGAGGGCATGGCATCGTTCCAGAATAAAAAGTCTCTGTTGGTTAGGTACTTCAGGTTTGGTTCGGTATTCCATTGGGAAATACCTTCCATCTTCACTGGCAGTAAAGATTGGGGACCAGGCTACATTCCATTTAATGAGTGTCTTGGCTCCAATAGAAACCATGTTCCTTCCAATATTGGGGAATGCCAAATAAGTTTTTTTAAAAATATCATTCTAGTGAATAAAGAGGCCACTGATCTTGGGGAGGGGGGGGGAGGTTTAATACATTTGCCAGGGAGAGTGTGCTAATGTTTATATGAGATCTGGGGTTAAGACACCTTATATACACATTTCTGTTACCATGTGAGGTTAGACATAGGCTGTATTATTCACTACACATTTCCTTAAAGGTATTCGAAAACTAGCTTATGCTAGGATTTAGGCTTAAATTCGTAGCTGTGAGAAATACAGTTTGGTCACATAACTAAAGTGCTAGATAAGAAGCCAAGATATTTTGAGATCTAGTTCTGCCTTAGACATGGAAGCCAGCTGGCTGACTCTGGGCCAATCTCTCTCACACTTAGAAAGAAAGCATTGGCAGGCTATTTCTGAAAACGTTGCCAAGACCTATCTCTGCAATCATCAGGAATCAATGGACCATAACAGCAACAGAAATACTACTACTGGTGTTGAAGAAATCAATGCAAATCTTATTTCCCAATATAGAAGCCAAGATGGCAAATTAAATATTATAGTCTTTATTGTCATTGTACAGAATAAATACAATGAATATGTCATTCATTCTAAGAAATCCTTAGTGATCAGTATATGAGGTTTGAAATTTCTTTTCTAAATGATGGTGAGTCTTGAGTGTTGCAACAAAGGGACCAATGGCACCATGGAGCTAAATTGAAGTAATACACAATTAATGCCTTGTCTGCAAGGCTGTGAGCTATAATAGAATTAATGATAAGGAATAATTCAGACTAGCCTAAGCTGTACCCTTCAGAGATGCCGTGCCATTTGTAAAACTATAGAAAATAATGGGTTTATACAGATTATATAAATTTTTCTGCCATTTAAAAAAAATCAGATTCTATAAATGAAATTCCTTATACTTAAATAGAGATTTGTTTGGAGAAAGGCCAGAGGAGAATTATATTTTATTTTATTGTTATCTTGAATTTAGCATCTTGAATCAGGAAGAGTAATTGTGCAAGTTGAGAGCTGAGCTGAATACTGAGCTAAATATTGGGAGCAATACATGCCATGGTAGAGGAGAATGAAGGCACTTTTTTTAATCTGGAAGGCCTCTAGCTTTGAAGAACTTCTGGAAAATGAGGATTTGGTGATAAATGATAGAATGTTGTACTTGCATGTGACAGAGCCTTATTTTGTTTGTACTTCGGTGAAGAGAATCAGTAGTTCCAATATAATTGAAAACATATTTTCTAAGCATGTCACTTTACTAAGATAGATTTGTAGAGCAAAAATAAAGCAGGCAGGAAAGATATGGTTATGCATGATCTTTTCCTCTTCCACTGCCACGCCAAAGCCATTTCCCTCTTTAGCTCCAGTCGTGAAACTTGGCTTTTAGAAAAACAATAGAAATGGGAAACAGGACATTGTTCCAGGGAAGAATTAGAGATCTGGAAGTACATGCAAAAAAGAGAATCAGCTGGCAGGCAAGACATCTATATATTTAACCATTTAGCACCAGCTAGGTTTTCTGTTCAAATATCTTGCCACGGCAATTTCCTCCATCATCAATGGTTTTGGAGTCCCACTGGCACGAAAAGAGCAGAAAAGGGAATATTGTAATGGAGAATTGGAAAGGGTTAATGTTGTTGTGCTGCAATTCCCTTTCTTGCACAATAGTTCCATTTGCCTTGTAACATGTAGTTTTGCCCCAGTTTGAATGGAAAGAGGTCCAAAGAAATTACATGATTTACTGTAAGCACTTGGCACCCAAGGAGGAGTTTGATGTGACTGCATTTTAAGTTCTGGAGTGGCAGAGAAAGAGTTCTCCCAAGATAGGTTATTCAGCCAGTTCTGACAGGTTCTGGAGAACCGGTAGCAGAAATTTTGAGTAGTTCGGGGAACCGGCAAATAGGCTGGTCCTCTCCCGCTGCCTCCCAGCCTCCCAGCTGATCTTCTTTTGTTGTCCTGAACAGGAGAACGAAGCTGGAAAGCAGATTAGTGGGGTGGGGAGGGAATGGGGATTTTGCAGTATCCTTCCCCTGAAACGCCCACTAAGCCACGCCCACGGAACTGGTAGTAAAAAATTTTGAATCCCACCATTGATTCCCCACCTCAATAATTTTCATATCCCAGAAGTAACTTGTAAAACAGCCTGTATTTCTTCCAAATTCATCATGCTCATTTTGTGACGGCACATTCACAAATGTGCATATCTGAGCTGCACCTCAAAAAATGTAAAATACAGGACTCGGGTAGGTGTTAATTAAAATACAGGATACTATTTGTAATGTATTTATAAATATATCCATACGCGTGCGAGCACACACACACACACAAATACACATATAATTGATTTTTTAAATGTTTTGTGCTTTTTGTCCAAAGGTAACTGTTTTATTATACAGTTATCTTCTCCTCCATCTCCTTGAAATCCCTTGTACAAAATGTTAGCTACGTTGAAGACAAATGGAGGGACATAATGGAGTTTATAAACATTTTGGAACCCTTCCCAAAGCAACTGTCTGGTTTCATGATTTGTCAGGCAGCAGCTTCAGTTCAGAATTTGGGAATAAGCTGATTAAGGGGGATGTTTTATGCCTTCAAACGCACCAGGGTCACTTGACATGTAAGAGAAGAAGAGATGAAATGGGAGACCTTACTGGCATAGTTAAGTGGGAACAGAGGCAGTATTTGTAAATAACAATAGTCCCTTTCGACCTAAATTGTTGGATTTGTTTCAGTAAGGAAACTGTGGAAAAGATTTCAACCAAGGTGTTGGTTGTGAAACGATTAGTACTGTTTATGGTAAGAAGGATTGTTTTAAAAATGTTTATTTGGGTTTAGCTACATATTTTTTGAATTCCACCCAAAAAGAAAATTAGTCAAATCCTCCCATGAGCATTTAACTGGGGGTTGGCTGAACTTTTAGATTTGTGGCCTTGGTTTTTTTTTTTTTTTTAAATTGCTTTTTTGGCCTCTTAAAAACCATAAGAGATGTAGCAATCTTGGCTTGGAAGAATCAGAGCTGAAACTTTTTAGAAGTTTCTGCTTTTAGGAGGTTTTTTGAAGGTTGCATGAAGAGATATGTAAAGTTTATCTCCAAAGAATCATGCTTCTGAATTTTATTTTTTGGCTACTACAATTGGATTTATGGTAAAAAAAAAAACTGGGGAGGGGACAGGGAAATTATGTATGATTTCTCAATTGTGAATTTACAGAGCTGAGAATCAATTTGTTCCATGTCCAGGCATTGCAATCAAGAATAACTCTCTTCAAAACACTTTGTGCTGTTATGAGGCAGTGTGTTATTTTTCTTCTAAAAATAAAAAGCCACAGACCAACAACATCTTTGATTTTTAAGAGCATTGGGCACCTTACAAATCTATTCCTGGATATTTTTATTGAAATAATGGACATAATTTTGGCAAAGTAAAACTGTACATAAATCAGGCAGTAAATGGTTTAAATTTTCACCAATCCACCTGACTACAGTATTTGATATAGTAGCTCCACTATATTAAAAGTTTGGATGGAACGTACCATTCTTTAATGATGAGTCCCACAAGCCGATGGCTGTAAATTTAAAGCATTTCTGACCAAATTTCTAAAGTATTTTATGAAGAAAT